AAAAAATTATAAATTTAATATAAAAATTTATATACAATTAATTAAAATATTTTAATTAATAAATCTTAACTTGTATTTTTAAAAGTTCAAGATAAACAAATTTTATATGTAAATATTATAACTACGTATAATCAATTATCTATTAATTTAAATTGAAAAAATTTTATTTTTAAAAATAAAATTTTAAATTTAAGTTTTATAAATAAAAATTTATTGAAAAGATTTTTTTACAAAGTTGAAATACTGGGTTAGTAAAAAGAAAAATATATGCGTACGTATTACGTAAAAAATTAAAATTTGAAAGTTAGAACAACAAATTATATTTTCTTTATTTTATTACATTGGAAATCTGACACAATTGAGAAGAAAGAAACTAACTCCGGCACCGAGTGATCTTACTACAACCACGGGTGTAGGGATTGGCTTGTGCGCCAGGTTTGCAGTTGTAGTACGACGCTCCGCGTTGGGAACACGGCACGCTGTTCTTCAGCAGAGCACCGTAGCCTATGTACTTACTCGCCGCCAGAATCCGCCGGTTACTCTCTGAGTCCATCGCGAACTCCCCGTCGTCGAAATCCAATACAGCGTTTTTGCCCATCATCATGCACTCGGCGATCGTCCCGCGGCACTCCGACCTCGCTGGGAGGAAGGCCTCGCCGCCGATATCGAATGTGGAGGCAGCGGTGGCCAGGAGAGCGCAAATCACGAGCAGAGAGAGCCAGAATTTAGAGTACCCCATTTTTGGTTTTCGCCAAGGCAGGCAAGAAGAGGCAGGATTTCAGTATTTATAGTAGCGATTTTTTTTTTTTGGAATTGATTTATATTAGTGAATTTTGGTTGAGGAAATGCGACTGGTTTTGGGTTTAATTTCGGTCTTGCCACTTTTGACTTTTTATTATCACCGGTTTTGCTTTTAATCCACAAAATATTATAATTATATAATATATGATATTATAAATTTATAATATGATGTATATTATATAATTAATTTTTTTTAAAAGTTATTAATAATATTATATATTTATTTAATATTATATTATATTTTGTTAGATATTATAAAATTTATAAATTTATAATTTGACTTAATAAAATAATTATAACATTATTGTCTTATCAAAGGTATCAGTCACTTGGAGAACAAATGCAAATAATTTTTTTTCTTGCTTACGTATTTTATTATAAAAATGGTTTTTACTATTCAAATTTATATG